CCTTGATCTATTGGTTGACCAACAAATATTGCTGTTTATGTTTCACCTTTTGCCACCTTGGAGCCAGAAATTCATTTAGTGAGATTCCTATTTCAGCATATGCCATTGGTGAAATCCAAAAGCCCCATTTGATCCAAGTAGGTAGTGATTCTGCAGCAAGGAAGGGCTTTATTGTATCATTCATGTTTAGAATCTCCTGGAGCATATGTCATAAAAATTGCCTTACCTAGTGGAATTGCAAAACCGCTGAATAAATATAAGACCAGTAAGCTGAAAGGGCCAAGTGTTGCTGCAACAGCTGGATTTCGAGCAATTGAAGCGATCACGCGGAATAGTGATATTGCAACTTGATGAAGTAGGAAAAGGACAAGGACTTGTTTGAAAAACCTGAAAGGAATTCTATGATTTAGAAAGGATGAAATATATTGTCAATAAAAAAAAGATCTCTTTAGGAAGAAAAAACCTCTGTGGTTCAGGACTGTAACCAATCCCATAATATGTCAGAACCGTCCAAAGAAAAGCATCTATCAATGAAAATGGAATCTTTAGAATAGCAGCTGGAATTGAATAAGCCCATGCTGGATAGAAGTATAAATCTCTTTGCTTGTAGAACACTGCGAGTCTGGAAACAGTGAATGACAACTCTGCGATCCCATTGCTCATTAGTCTTACAAGAGCATAAAACAAGGAACCCATGTAGTAGGTCGCATGGACCATATCAACTTTCATTCGGGTGCGTATAAACAGTGTCGTGGTTATTAGTGCAATTACAACTAGCTGCATGAAGAAAACATCTCAGGTCTATTAGCATATTCATTTTCATTATCTGCAACACATTTGTGCAATGTGAATTACTTTTCATGATAGTTTATTACCTGTCCTGTTTTGAAGATATGAATGAATGAGTTCCGCTTCATAAGCAACCATTCTCTGGCCATGCATGCTTTGAATAATTCCCATTTTTTCAATGTATAGATCTTAAATGATAGAGCGCTTTTGTGGCTTTCGTTTTTATTGAAAGGAATGCAGAGTTCTTCATCTAGCTTCTGTCCTACATGGAAGTCTTTAAAGGCAGCTCTGAACTTGTCAATAGAAACGTAACTATAAGGATGGTCCTTATGATACCAGTACTGAGCTTGATCCTTCTTTGAAATTACCTGTTCGAAAAAGTAAGAGCAGAACATTAGTAGAAGCAAGTAACATGTCACACATTGATCAGTAATAAAAAGATTAAACTGGGAAACCTACTTCTTGCAGGTAGTCAGCAACGCCCTTACGTGGCGGGCATCTGAAACCACAATGTTCAAAGAACTCTTGAACATTACTGCGTGGCCCATGGTACACAATCTTTCCTTCTGCCATTAGAATAATATCATCAAAAAGATCAAATGTCTCTGGTGCTGGTTGAAGAAGTGACATTATGACTGTGGCATCTGTTATGTGTGCCATTTGTTGTAGATAGGTAACAATCTGAAAAGTCGTGGAGGTGTCTAAGCCATTTGATATTTCGTCCATAAACAGAGTTTTTGTTGGACCAATTATCATTTCCCCTGTCAGAGATGAACATTATGTAGTCAAAACAATGGAAGAAGTAAGTTTCTGATGCTTGGATTAGTTTACTGGTTATTCAACAACCAGATGCATAACTAGTAATGCAGTTGAAGTACAAAACCTGTAGTAAGCCTTTTCTTTTGACCGCCCGAGATCCCCCTGTTTATGGCATCTCCCACATTCGTATCAGCACAAGTGTCTAGTCCGAGGATCTGGATGGTCAGAAATGGCAGCATAACTATATTCAATTAGTGAAAGCTATAAGCTTAATAATGTAACTTTTTTTTTTTCTAAATTTTTATGAAAACCACCTTTAATGTATAGTCTGTCTGGAGAGTTCCTTTTGATCCCTTTACTGATGTTGCCTGTTAGCATATATTATTGTCAGAGATGGTTGAAAAAGGAATTGAACCAAGCTTCCAGCCTTTAGTTAGGGGCAACAGAACTGTTTCTTGCAATCTGATTACCTTCATGTAAGTGTCTATATCTGGATCAGGTATGACTCCCAATTGCTTCTCCCTTCTACTGATTTCTTTCATTGTATCTTAATGGCAGGAAACTTCTGAGGTCAGTTTAACAACATCATGAATATCATAGTAGGATGCTGAAAAAGAAATCTACCTGTTCTGCTTCCAATACCCTGACAATGTGCGGAAAAGTCAAGCGTCTCCCTTACAGTCATTTCAGAAATGTGCAGGTCGTATTGACTTACGTATGCTGATGTTTTCTGGGGAACAAACTCAGAAAGCTTGTAACCATTATACGTAATTTCCCCTGTCACCTGAAATTTTGTTTAAATCAATACCCTACATTAGTATTTAAATTTCTAGTTATTGAATCAATGGTACAATTGTGAATTTTTGTTAACAGTATTCCTTTTGGGTGCTGAATTTTTCTATGATTGCAGCTTAAAAGAGCGATAGAACACCTCAAGAGACGGATTGAGGTTCCCTGCAAGTGCCTGCAACAACGTTGTTTTCCCACAGCCTGGAGGACCAAGCAATAGAGTCATCCTGCAAGAAAAAGTATGTCTAAGACTAAACATGATTTGCCATAAGCTATTGTTTTGTATCTCAATGGAAATCAGCTTAGTCTCATGAGTTATAGAGTGCATAGATGCCGTGGATGCAGGGATATCTAGCTTTGATGTGAACCTTGAAGGCTTGATGATACCGCTGACATCTTTGAGAATTTTAAAGTTGATTCGTTGCATGTTGCATCTTCCAACGTTTGTCACAGCCTGTTCAACATAAGTCGCCTTAAATCTTGCAACGTATTCTCGTTTTTTTGTTAAAACATCTAGTAAACACTAGGAGAAACTATTCTATTTTTATTGACAATAAATTATTCTATTAGTTAAGATACAACTTCAAATTTAACCCTTAAATAAGGAATAAGAACATGCTTGTCTCTAAAAATATATATGAAGATAAATTATTCTTTCAAAATATAAATTAAAATAAATTATTTATTTTTTAACATATAATATCATCAATTTTTTATTAAAAAATACTTACATAGTAAACAAAATTTCAATATCTGATTTATCTTAATCTATAATTTAAAGAGATAATTTATCTTTATATTTTTTTAAAAGATAAATTTATCCCACCACTTAAATGAAGGGGTGTATTTTGAGGTTTTGTCATTAATTAAACTAATATAATTCTCATTGTCTAGTTTTCCTCACAAAAAGTATAGAACTTGTATGATCTAAGAAGCTTTCAATTAGACCTGTCAAACGGGCGGATTGGGTCGGGTTAGGGTCGAGTTAGAACGGATAACGGGTCAAAACGGATTGGGTTAAAACGGGTCACGGGTCAATGAAGGCAAACCCTAACCCGCCCACCACGGGTCACGGGTCAACCCGCGAGTCAACCCAATTAAATTTTTTTTCTTTTTTTTTTCTCTATAATTTATACCTATTATCATTTAAAAAAAATTATTCAAAAGATTTTTTTAAAAATTCAACATCTTATAAAAAGAATTTTTTTCTTATTAATTTAATGTATACATATTTATAGTTCTTTAGAATCATCTTCTCCACCTCCCTTCAAAGAACAACATTAATCAAATTCAAGAACACCACACATTTATAAATCTCAATGGCCAAAAAAAGAAAAGAAAAGAAATAGTAGTAGCATGACAACCAAAAAACACAAACCCCATTGGAACATATTTGTTCTGGTCGTTGCTTTCAAAGAATCAATCAATTGAATGCATCTAAGCAAAGGACAAGATCAACTAGAATTTTTACTTGGAATGGAGAGAAAACTAAAAAGCATAAATAAGTAAATAACTTACCTTGAAAGCTTTAGAGAGAAAAGTTGGTGATAAAGAAAGCACTTGTCAAACTCAAAGGAGAAAGAAAGAAAGGGCTAAGTGGATGCGATGGTGACTTAGTGATGCTAAGATCTAAGTTTGAAATAATGTTAAAGACTAAAGAGAAAAGGTGGAGTCGAAGCTTGAACGTCGAAGGCTGTATAGATTATAGAGGTTGAAGAATATGAGAAGTGTTTGAACTTTAAAGAGTTAGAGTCTTAGAGAATATTATGGCAAGCAAGAATAAGAAAGGTGGGGAGGTGAGTCATAAGTGGAGTTGGATTATTTTTAATTCTAGAAGATGATGAGTTAAGAGAATCAATTAGCTAATTAGAGAAAATTGCTCAATTATTAGAGGTTTAGGTGAGATTGGGAATTGAAAAACAAAATAAATAAATAATAAATTAAAATTTTTTAATTTTTAAATGAGTAAACGGATCAAACCCATTAACTTAATGGGTCAACCCATTAACTTAATGGGTCAACCCGTTAACCTAATGGGTCAACCCGTTATTGATACTTGACCTGTTAGGTTTTCTTAACGGGTCATGAACGGGTTGTGGGTCATAAATATATGACCCTAACCCATTTTAAACGAGTGGGTTAATGGGTTGATAAAAAATTGCAGGTCTACTTCCTATCAACGTTACCGAGTTTGGGGCAGACATGGTATTCTTTTTGCTTCGATTTTTGAGGAAAATACTTATATACTTGAATTCTGCAGAAACTATATTTATGTTAATAGAAAAGTCTCATACGAACTATTCGGATTAGTCTTTACAAAACGGTTAATGCATAATAGTTGATATTTAACTCAATAGAGTGATTTAATGGTTAAAAACTTGAGATTCCAAGTTTAAAATCTTAAATTCGAACTTTGAATCAAATAAAAAAAAATTTAGGAAAAGGAAAAGGTTATTCCTCTTATATAGTCTATTTATATAGTCTATTCAGATGTACAAAAAAAAATAATAGTGATATTTAATTATTGATAATTATTAATATTTATAAGTTAAAATATTTAATTTATTTAATTAAAATTAATAGTTGATAATTATTTTTAATAAATTAAAACAGACATCCTTTTCTACTGTTCATTTTGTAAAAAAAAAAAAAACATTAATTTGGGTCGAGAAAAGATGAAAATACCCTTAAGGAATATCGGATGCATGAAGTTCATTGATCCTGTTTGGCTTCCCTCGTCTCGGATTGATATTTTTATATTAAAGTGGATGGTGAAGCATTAATCTTTATAATTTTCTGATGAAATTAATCTTTATAATTTTATATGCCAAAAACAGGGGAAAAAAAAAAAACCACCGAACACGTTAGAAGGAGCAAGCGACTTACAGAGAAGACACCTCTGATGGTATTCCATAGAGTGGGGAGGGGCTTCCCTTGAACTACTTCACATTCTGCTTCCACACACAGATTCTGGTATCTCACTTCGGTTGTCGGCAGCTCCAATCCCACCCTAAAACCGGATTAATATCAATGCATTTGCAATATAATCAATTATTTGCTTGTAAATAAGAGTTTAGATTTTACCTTTCCATTCTTTCTTTGAGTTTCTTCAAGAGCCGGAGATTGTCCTCCTCGACTCTGGTTATCAATCTCTCAATGAAAACCTGGCGTTCCGGAGCTCCAAGCTTGGTAACGTCTATCACCTCCCTCTCTCTCTCTTCTTTGCCATCGCTCGGAAACAATGACGACCTTATCCGCCGGAAAGTAGGAAGTCTCTCAATGGCCGCCCACTGCAACTCAACTTCGTTATTGTCTTCCTTCATGCTGAAGGAAGAGGCCGCTGCAGAGGCATCAGAAGACTCCTGGTGGAAAGAAGAGCCCATGCTGATCGTCAACCCCAGCTCAAAGAGCAGAATGTTAAAGGTGAGGACTGAAGTTAATGCATATGAAGAACCGAGTATATATAGATGGAAAAGTGATTTGCAACTCTCTTCTTAAATTATTTTTTGGAAAACCTGTTTGAAACGTAATCTTCAAACTAATATTTTTAAAAAACAATTACTAAATTGAAATTTTTAGTGATATAAATTATATATGTTAATTTTTAAATTATTTAATA